GGAAAGCTATGTGCTGGTGGCAGTGGGGCTTAGGGAAAGGCATACTGGAGATTTAATTCTCCACCCAGTTTTCCTTCCTCATCACAGGCTTGTGCTCACTGTCCAGATGCTCAGAGACACCCCAGGTGAGAGCTGCCCCCATGCCGTAGCATGACCAAGACTTGTAGTTGATTATTAGAACGTGGTGTTAGTGCTGCGGGTGCTTCCACGGGGACCTTCATCCCCCTGCAGCATTGACAGTCAAAGCCTATCTCTACAGCTGTGCCCCTGCTCCAGGGTACTGGGCTGCCCGCTAGGGACTGGGTCCCAGGAGCTATTTGCCACTTGCCTGCAGGTCCCCAGATCTAGGTCAGCAGTGTTGAGAGGCCATCACCATCTCAAAGCCTGCAGGAAGGGAGGTTCAGAGCATCAGTGTTGGCTTGCCGGTGGGATGTCTGCTTTACAGTCACTGTTGTCACGGCCGGCAGACTCTGCCCTCTCTGTGGCATTATCAGGGAAGCCAAGCATTAAGTAAACCATGGAAACAGTGCCCTTTTCACCATGCGAGTGGGCAGTTTAAAGCCAAGGCACACTAAAGAAGTTGGGGGGAGGGGGGTCTTGGGTAATGGATAAGAGGCTTCCAACTCATACCAGGGAGGGGAGCAGCTCCTTCAGCTCCAAGGGTAGAGGCCCATGTTTTAGTTTGCAAGCTCATGTCGCTCGGGCAGGAGGCTGTTCGTCACATGCCGTGGTCTAGGGAAAAAGAGATGAGCTCAAGCTGTTGGGCCCCCTTTTTACCACAAGAAGGCCAGGCCCGTGCCCGCCACCCCACTGCTCTGCCGCCAACAGAGAGGAAGGGGTGGGAGGCGAAGGGAGCATTTTGTGACTGCATGTCAGAAAAATGCCAAATGGTCGGGCCCATGCGCCCAAATTCCACCCCCTGGGTGCGGCTCTCTGTCGAAATTTGGATTCCATCCATTAACAAAACCCCAGCACAGGCCGGCTCTGCTCATTGTTCCCTTTCCAAGCATCCCAGTGTCTGGAAATTCCAATAAAAGGCTAATAATAAAAAATCCTGGGATAAGCTTTTCCCCGCCCACCCTCGGAGTCCTGCTTTAAGACCCTGGGCTTCACTAGATTCCTTTGCTGGAGAGCTTGGGCTCAGGCACCTCCAGGGACTGCAGTGCCGGAGGGGGGCAGGCCAGGCTCTGCTGCAGATGGAGAAGGCTCGTTATAGGTACACACGGCTGAGCTCTTCCGACTGCAAGTGCTGTTCGTCTGGGTCTGGCAAGGCCGCCAGCCTGGGACTGGGGAGTGCTAGAAGGAGCGGGCATGCGGGCAGGAGAGTAGCACCTTTACACTCCAGCATGATGAAAGCTTTCTACAGCCTGCAGCGCAGTCCCCGTGTCCTGCGTCTTCCACAGCCATGTGCAGCCATGCCAAGGGGATGGATGCAGAGAGCCCAGGCTGTTGGTGACATGGAGACTTGCTAAGAGGCTTTTCTGAGCACCCTCAGGTGTTGGGCATCCCAGTGTCTCCAAGCTGGATTTGGCTTCCTTGGTTAGAACCTGTCAGACAGTGATCAGCCTTAGGACCACAAGGGGAAGGCCAGTGAATGCCAGTTTGCTTGGAACAAAGCTCCCCTTGGAGGACTTTGGTGTAAGGAGGACTTAAGAGCAGTCATGTCCCACTGCATGCTAAAGAAAGCAGGGGGAGAGGGGAAAGCCTGAAGCTGCCTCTGTACAGCAGTGTGGGGTGGGGAGGAATTGGGGGGGTGGACAGGGGTGTGTGGCTGTGTGTGCATGTGTGTGAAGGGCTCATTTGGCAACTGAGCTGTCCCTGACCCGTCTGGCTGACACGCTTCCCCTTGCTCATGGCTCCAGGCACCAGGTGCTTGTTCTCAGGTCTGACACGTCCGTCTGTCTCGGAGCCTGGAGCGCTTTCCCAGGCAAACACTGCTGAAAGATTTAGTGCTTTTCACACCCATTCCAGGGCAGGGAGGGTGGCAGGGGATCATGCCCCTTTCCCAAATTACAAACTGATGATTAATTGGTGAAAGAGGCAGGCAGCCTGCGAATTGCTGGCTTGCCGGCATGGCCTTCCGGCTGCAGCCGCTTGACCCAGCCAGGTGCGGCATTCCTCACCCCAGGTTCTTGCAGTGGTGAGGCCAATGCCCTGCTGTGATGCCCTCACCCAGGCTTGAGTAACCTTTTTAGCCCCTGGTGAGCTCTCAGGGATGTGGCAGGCAGGCTGGGCAGGGCTTGGGCTCAGCGCCTTGCAGGGCTCCCATTTGCCTTGAGTTTTGTGCAGTGCCAGAGCCGCCCAGCACTGTTCCCCCTGAAGTGAGCAGCTGCGGGGAGTGCTGGCAAACCCCGAGCCCCAGGCAGTGGACAGGTGTGTGGACGGAGCAGGGAAATCCTCTGCATGGCAGCTGACCCTGGAGCATTGTCCCTGGTACATGTTTCAAGTTGGTCTAACTTCTCTACTTTCTCTGGAGTTACTCCTGATTTACTTAGCAGAGTATCTAGGAGCCAGGTGGAGGCTCAGTGCTTTCCCCTCCAAGCAGGTCATAGGCCTGCGACAGCAGGGTACCAGCAGACCCAGAGGCAGGTAGCTTGAGGAGCTGTTCTTGTTGGATCTCAGAAGAGTGGCTGTGCCTTTCTGAAAGCCCAACTTAAAGGCCCTCCCTGCAACCTTGTTCCCCCTCACACTTCCTCCTGCCAGACCTGCTGCCCTGTGCCAGCCTGCCTCTGACACTCCCTAGGGCCTGCTCTGCTCTGTCCCACAAGTTGGATCATTCCCCTTCTATCAGGGCACGGCCACCCTGTGCTTTGCAGAGCTGTGCAGGCTGGATTGAAATCTGGGAGCCAGGCATGCATGGGTCAATTGCAGGTTAGATTCATGGCCCCAAGGCACTGTAGGGTACCAGGACCAACATAGGCCTAGTGGAAAACACAAAGCTCCCCTTCCCCTGACCATCTTCCCAGGGCCATAAATAAGACCGCAGCTCCTCCATGCCTCTTATTTGGGTTCCCAATTGCTCCCACAGCCCGGGGAAGCACAGCTTCCAAACCAGACAGCCCTGTGTATCAAGAGCAGAGCATGGGGAAGCCATGCCCAGGGAAAGGAAAATGTGTGGTGGGCGGGGAGAGATGCATATTAGCTAAGCAAGCTGGGGTTTGGTGAGATGGAGCATTAATTAGAGACAGATGGAGCTGGATAGTAAACGAGGCCTTTTATTTATTACAGGAAATGTCAAAGGGCAGATTAATTTCTAAAGATAGGATCCTGAAACCCTACCCCCAGCGGGTATGGAGCACGTTTGATCAGTGGTTATTAAAGGTGAAGGCCTACTGCCTCGGGCAGTTTCGCCAGTGGGGCAGGCCCTAGGCAGAGACCATACATCCCTTGGCCTCAAGGAGCAGGCTTTGTCCGTTCTACTGTTAGACCATGCTTTGCTCCACCAGTCTGTGACCCTGGCGCTGAGCCCAGCCCTGGAGCGGCCCTTAGAGCCTTTGCTTGCTTTTGTCCCTGGCATGGCATGTCCTGTACCGTCTGTCCAGTGCTGCCTATAGCCCAGACACCAGGCAGAGGGTGGCAGGATGAGCAAGGACAAGGGGTTAGGACTGGGGGAAAGAACACCCTAGCTCCACTGAAGTCAGTGGTGAAGCTGCCATTAACGTCACGGAGGCCCGCGTGTCCCAAGAGACTGCCAAGGATGTGGGATAGCAAATGCCGCGTCTTTTGTTCCCACCAGGTCTCAGTGTAGAAAACGAAGGGCCTTTACAAAACCTCTTCTCACATGTGGGGGCTGGGGATGCCCGCTGAAAAACTGCTTGTGACAGACTGGTTTCCGGTGGGGTTTTGCAAATCCAGACGGCCGTGCTGTCCGATGTGCTGTTATTATCGGGAATACCAGAGTGAACACAGCTCGTACAAAGCGATGCATGCATCTTGCAGTATCTGAGCTCGCGTGTGCCTGCTGGTGCCAAATGACTGGACGGATTGCACCCTACGTGGACATGCAATGAGACATCAAGCACCAGATAAAATCTGGCCCTTAAAAAAAAATAAAAAGGTGCTGACTCCAGCTTTGCTCTGTTAGTGGCAGCGGTCGCTTGTTCTAGTCACCTGGAGCGAAGAGCGCCAAGAGAACTGGTTACTTTCTGAAGACACTGCATGTGGCACTGCCTTTTAAACCACATCCCTGAGCATGTTCTCTGGGGCAGCGGTTCTCAACCTCTACAGACTCAAGGCTCCCCCTGGGTAGACTGGAGGCACCCCTAGATAGATGTGAAACTCCCCTGGAGAGATTCAAGACACCCCTGGATGGACATAAGGGCACCCTGGAGAGACACGGGACCCCCTGGAGAGACTCTAGGACCCCTTGGAGAGACACAAGGGTGCCCTGGAGAGACTCGGGACCCCATGAAGAGACACAAGGGCCCCCGAGATGGACTCAGGACCCCCTGGAGAGATAGAAAGTGCCCTGGAAAGACTCACATCCCACTGGAGAGACTCAAGGGTCCCCTGGAGAGACTCATGCCCCACTGGAGAGATTCAAGGGTGTGCTGGAAAGACACAAGGGTGCGCTGAAGAGACTCAGCACCCCCTAGAGAAACCCAGGATCCCCAGGAGAGACTCAAGGTCCCCTTGGAGAGACCCAGGACCCTCTGGAGGGACACAAGGATGCTCTGGAGAGACTCAGCCCCCCCTAGATAGACCCAGGACCCCCCAGGAGAGACTCGCGCCGCTTCCCCGGGCGGCTGCTGCCCC